AGTCCAAATCAAATCGCTGCATCAAAAAAAAAAAGGAAAATGCGATTATGGTAAGCTGGAAATAAAAGTAAATCCATGTTCTAGTTTATCGTTCCAAATTTAGCTAGATTTACAGAAATAAGGCGTAGTACATTGTATTCAAGAGGAACCGTGGTCAACAATGAACGCCCTATGGAGCGCCACACCCTGGCTGTCCTCTACATTGCAAAGAGGCATGCTTGACGAGTTTTCTGTTTTGTTCAAGAAGAAAAAGAAAAACGAATCGAATGTTTAAAGTTTTGGGATATGCACAGTAAAGTGCGATAACGGATCGTATGAATGAAAAAAATAGATATTGTTTGCAATGTCGTTCTCTTTGGAGACTTTTCTAACGGACAATTACAGTTTGATTCCCCTCAAGCTTGCATCATTTTCGATTTTATAATTTGATACTCTATAAAGAAAGAAATTAGCAGTAAACACAAAACAGATTATGTTGTTGGAAGTGGCTTCGTTTCAATTACTTGGTACTTGGTACTTGAATAGCCCGTCTTCACTGGTAATGGGGGTGTAAGTATAGTTTCCATTTTTTTTTCTGGCGCAACTATCGTCCATATTAGTGGTCTGCTGGAAGCATGTTGATGTACGTGAGGTTCATCCCGTGAATCCAAGCTAATTCTTATCTGCAAATGTAGATGGTTGACGTTAGTCACAAACACGTCTGCCTATCGTTTGAGTGGTTTTTCGGAAAGGCGCTTGCATTCCTTTCAAATTCACTCCACTGTTCTTTTCGTCCATCTGTCATTTGCTCCTCCTATCATATGAATGGCCCATCTGTGTTTCGCTATCGATAAGTATATTTCTAGATCACGAAGAAGAGAAATTTTTCAAAGATCGGAGTTGAGCAAACCGGTTAGACGTCGTGAGTGGCGGTTGCTTATAGAAGGTCCCTCCCAAACGCCCTATGAGATTTAAATAACATACGCTTGAATGAAGCTTCATACGACAGATTCACTGTTACGCCTAAACCAGCTGTATCTAACAAAAGAAGCATTCAGTGTACTCCTCACTTGAACAATCTCCGTAATCTTCTGTTGACATGAAGAGCCTGCGATCGCAGACGCATGTAATATTCAGTGATTTTTGTTGAGCACAGCTTATTCATTAGACATCTTGTAGTGGATCGATCAACTAAAAATGCGGAATTTTCCATCAAAGCTTTTACAAGGAACGGCTTTCTCAATGTACGGAAACAAAAAAAGAGAAAATTCGCCTTTGCTCTCGTAGTAGTCCGCCAGTTTCATCGACTCTAAACGCGGGTTCAACTCCCGTCTGGGATCGAATTTATGCATACCACGCTGTACTCTCGAAACATCTTTATAATATCATACTGCTGCTAAAAAACAGTAAAAGCAGGGATTTGAATAGGTTATTCATATTAGTGTAAGTGGGAGAATTTATGCAACGGAAGTAATTGGTGGATCAAGTCTCTGATACACTTATGGATCGTCACAATCATCTGCACGCGATAACACTGTAGTAATTTGGCGAGGATGAAAATCGAGGTACAGTAGGTCACGACGACGTCACTTATTTAAAGTGCATTCAACGGCAAAAATCCCCACAATAAATTGTTTATGATACAAAGTGAATAGATTGCAAAAAATTGATATTCATAGATCAATAAAACAGTGTTTCTTATGAAATTTATAAAATCAAACTCCTGAATTATATTGAAAATCAAAAAATGATTAAAATTATCGATGAAACGGTATACATTTTTGAGGAATATATAGAACAAGTAGATAAAAACTGAAAGAATTACATTTTCTTCATTGATTGAGCCAGTTCCACAAAGCTGTTGTAAAAGCATTCTATTCAGCTAACGTTTCGACGTGTTTCGTCTTCTTCAAAGCCGATTGATCCAAGCCCGATGCTCCATAGTCTTTCGTCCTCGTGGTGGCAACCGCTGTCTTTCTAATCGGACCGTATTCCCTGCATAATTTAGTACATTCATTGACACGACATATCGACATTGAATTTATTACATTCATTACATTACATTCATTCATTATTTCATTTATCTTCATTGACTGTCAGGGACAGCATATCTCTAAAAAACACGAGGGAAGTATAAAACGGTCCAACTCGAACGAAAGCGATCATGGAGCATAGATAAGATGAGATGAACGGAAAACAAAGAACGCTTAGAAAAACTAAATTCTATAACGGAAATTGGCCATTGTTGCGTTGCAGGATAGTTCTCAAAGGGGTAAACTTTACTGAACTGGGTGTTTTCAGCAGCAAGAACATATGTGTACGCTCCACACCGATAGCAATAAATTTCGCCCGTGTTCTCAATGTGACGAAAGAACACCTCTAAAATGTAGTGTTTTCAACGGTAATGTGCCGAAACAGTAGATTTTTCTTGTCAACTCCTAATGGAACATTTGTGTTCAGGAAGTACAAATGATTACGAAAACAACGACATGAAATTTGGTTGGACAGAAGAAATGGAGGAAAAAGAGAGCACTCACGTGTGATATATGAATTTTGACATGTATGTGTTAGAAAAAGTACAAGCATTGTTATTTAGAAGAACAGAGTTATTTTGCCAGATCAGAAGCATTTTTCTTACATGAACATAAATTTGTTGCTAAGAAGACTGAGGACGGAATATTCCTCTAGATGTTCTAAGCAGCCTCAAGAATTGCTTAGATTGACTTAAATAATTCTAGTAACCTTGGACATAAATAAAACAAAGGGATTTCAAAATCATAGACAAATTTGGATTGATTTTATGATACTCTCTGAATCTGATAGATAGAAAGAGTTTCTGTTGCTTAAACTGCTCAGTAAACCAGATTTACTAAAATTTTTTGCATTATTTTCCAAGTTATTGCGAAATGTCCGAACTACTCGTTAAAATGAACCACTAGCACAGTGTCTCATTTGTACAATCTCCAAGGTCTCTTAACGTTTTCATCTCCTCCGTGGCACAGAAAATCTTCTGGAAACAAAGTAAAATTTGTCTAGGATTTCTGGAGCGCTCACGACTTCATATCAGTTAAACAACGAGAGCATTCAATATGTGAACGAAACATCAATTCTACATCTAGTTGTACGTTACTGGCTAGAAGCAGGAGATGTTTTATGGACGATATTATGCCAGTCATTTTTTTCTCCTCAGTTTGCTCAGTTTCTTTGCTCTCGACGCGTTTGTCATAACATAAGGTGAGAAAGTGCAATAATCACGAGGTCTATGTAGAAGTTTCATTTGGATAACATTTCGGTGCCTTCGTCTTCTTCAGAGTGGATGCACATATTCGTATTGTTGTGGTCTTCGTCTTAGTTTCATTCAAGTCAAATTTTCTTCGGTAGAACATCGCTCAAATGAAGAGTAAACTGGGATTGTTGTGAAAAAGAGGTGTCAGACGTTGATCGACGCCTGACTTATGCGTCATACATTTCACCTAATCAAACATCGCCAGAGATGACTTTGTTTATTTGATGTATAAAATGACTTGTCTAGTGATGTGTCATGTCAGTGCTGTTATACCCTCTAACAACTATGCTACCAATCTGTAGACTTCGAAGAAATAGGTTTGATTGGTACGGAATGCAGGATCCAATAAGTGACTATGTGCATGTAACAAAGCATCTCTAATTACTGTCCTAAACGCGACCATCCTTAGACTAATGTATTATGGATTTCAAAAAACTATTCTGCTTCTTCCTTGATAATTTTCGTAGTGGCATTGCGTGCGAAAAAGTCGAATGCGTCAGATGTGGGCTTATTTCTTCTCCATGTTATTTTGTCAATCATTTTGCGAGTCTCATAGGAAACTTGTCTTCAGCAGGAAAAGTATGTATTACAACGCGAAACAGAAAGGTTAAAGAGTGTCGCCATGAAATGGAACGTTGTTATTTTAAAGGTGGTCACGTTTTGCCATTTGTGATTTGACTAGATGACTGACAGGGTGTGGCATCGTTTTATGTGAACGTTGCGAATGTTATGTTGATGTATGTGAAATCACAAACAGTCTGGCAATGGTAACCGGTCAATCCGCACTCTATGCATTTTAATTAATCACTCTTATCTCTTCATAAAGCTATAAGATTGGCTAAATAACTCACTATTCCCTGCAAATTCCTTATATGTTATGAAAATCTGTTTGACATCGTTGGTACTGAATCACAGGTGGTCCGTCCCACCTTAACAATACAACTGATTCATTCATCATGCCATCCACTTTACTGCTTCACGAGTTTTCCATCCTAAGTGGATTGGCAATTTGCAATCGTTTTATGGTGATACTAATTGCTATAATATAATCACATTAGTTATTTTGAGGTGTGCCTGTGTCTATGAAAAGATGAAAATTAGCTCTACTTTCCAAACACTGTAGTTTTTTTGCGTCTACTCCATTTTCTACTTTCAATATATTGTAATTTTGATAATCGAATGTCTATCGTTCTACTGAATCCATACATAGTTTTTATTTATTCATTTTTTCACACGACTCATCATATAACCCTGTGTGAATTTCGCCCCACCTAACATTTGATTCCTTACCCTCATTTACTGTTCCAGAAATCTTCGAACATTCAGCGTGTATTTTGACTACTACTTGAAGATTTCGTTTTTCTTATGATTTCGTAAAATACTGGCCAGATTGAATGCTGCTGCAATCTCGAAAATAATCGAGTTAGGGTGCTTCCACTTGGGTTCCATTAAGGTGTTGAAAGAGGGGTCGAACCAGTTCTATACTTTTTGATGGACTACATAATTTTGCTATTCTCACTATGTCTCAAGACTGTCGTAGGGAAATTGTGTATTGATTAAATAGTCCATTGGAAATGCAAATGTGGAAAGCACTGCAATGACCAGACATTTACTGTGATTAGTGTTAGACACATTTAAATGAAACTGGTAATGGGACATTCTACAACAGAAATTGTTTTGAAATTTGAAAATTTTTCATAAGAACCTAAGAGAATTGAGTGGTGAGCAAAAACACGTCCTCAGACGGGAGTCGAACCCGCGTTTCATTCTTACCTGGGACGCGTGCTACCACTACACCACCGAGGTCGTATTTTTGCTCACCACTTAATTCTCATAGGTTTGTATGAAACATTATAACATCGTGTAAAATAGTAGTGAAACACTAGATTTCACGAGTATTACGTATCAAATGGCTGTCAGCCCAATTTGGTTTATAAAGCAAAATCGCATATCCAAGCAAACTATTATAGGTTGGTGGCTGACAGCTATCATGGATATGTATAAGAATGAGTGGTGGCATGAATGTACCTCGGTGGTGTGATGCTAACATTTGTCCGAGATATGGATGAAACGCGGGTTCGACCACCGTCTAAGGTCGTATTTTTGCTCACCACTCAATTCTTTTCGGTTTGTATGAAACATCACAACACTGCTGAAAGAGGAAGTGAAACACTAGATTTCACGAGTATCTCAAAGATATCGCATTTACTATGGGCTAAGCATAGGTTTGTTGGAAAAGAATTCATTTGGCTGTCTTGATTACTCATCGAGAAATAAGACCACTTGCATTTCTATAGAGCATTCAAAACACCCATTACGCTAATTCATGGAAAATAGATTTTCCTCCACTCTGCGTGGATTCTTTGCTAGATCTCTGAGCAACAAAGCGGACGATATCAATGGAAAAAGGCTGGCGTATGGGAGCGCATGTCCAGTGGGTAGAGTTCACGAACAGTAGGACAGAGCCTTTCATTCACCAGAATGAAAGTGATCAAGCGCATTTGATTGATATTATTGTCGAATGATTGCGTTGCGATTAATACTAGTCCTTTAGTATAGTACAGTCCCTCATTGTTCTATAGAAGGCGAAATATCAACTTTACTTGTCAATAGAAAGTCAAGTTTTGTGTCGTAGTCGTCGTGTTGTCGTCATGAATCAACTACTGATCATCAGACTATTTTTATTTTCAGATCAAACTGGAAAAATACTCCGAAAAAGGTGCGTGACTTCACGTTATTTATGTTATTTCCAACACTCATGACATCATTGCGTTCTTCCTCTCTCTATCTCTTCCTCTCTCTCTCCCTCTCTCTATCTCTCTCTCTCTTTCTCTTTTTCCCTCTTTCTCTTTCCCTCTTTCTCTTTCTCTCTCTCTCTCTCTCTCTCTCAATTTGCTATAACAGACGCGTCCACGCAAAACGGAACGAGATGAAAGGACAACAAGGACAAACACGTTCTTTTCATAAGATCTGACTAAACAACTGGTTCCTTTATTTATATGCTCGACCAAATTTTACCATACTGCCTGACTATAGTAGGAATACCAACGCATTCAAGAAAAAAGAGGAATCTGTGAGAATTTCATCCAGAGAAACTTGGACAGCTTTTCAGCATTAAGCTTTCTAGCTGTAGAACTAGCTACGAAGAAAAGAAATAGTGAGATTTTTCTTTAAAAGGAGGCGTGATGAGAAGCATTGAACATCATCGAAAACTATTTTATGGCACTTAACTCAAAAATTAAGAGAACACAAGTCATCTCAGCGCTAGAAAAACAACTTTTAGAAGTCAGATGTTTCAACATGGATATAATCAGAGTCTGACGCAGTCATGTTCTCAAAGGATTATTTCTGACTTCTCCATCAGTACAAGTTTCGACTAAATAGTCGGAAGATTGGCTTGTAGCAAGACCATTTCGTCCTTACAAATGGCATGGTATTCAGCAACAACACATGAAAGTTAGCGAACTTGCCCCTTCTTTTGTTTTCTGGATAAAGCTAGGCTCTAAAATTTTGTAGAGCATCTCCATTACTGTTTGAATGTCTCAGTGCTCATAGTCTTTTGACGTACGCTTGCGATGCCATTCAATTTTCAGAAACTGATATGAAGTGGAATAGAACGATCATAAAACATTACTTTGTGTGAATGTGCAAGCCCTCAAAACGCTTGGACTGTGTCTCCTTATGTGAGAGGAACTAAGAAATTTCATCGCTCATCTTTATTCTTACAGCCTAGATTTCAGAAAAAGTTGCCTTTCCTCTAGCATGTAGCATGATTCATGAGCCTCTGCAAACTCCAATGTGTTTTCGTTTTCGTTCTTAAAAAACGAGCAGTGCTGCAGAATCATGCCTGATTATAGCAAGTATAGTGGCATTTCTGATCATATATGTATAGTTATGGTAGTTACAATCACTTAGTGGTAATATTCATTGCTAATCTAAAAAAACCTAATGATCGGTATTTTTAATGAGAGTGTATATATGAGACCAAAATGTGTATTCTTGTTAAAGAAGTTAAGTGCTACGAAAGGCGTATAAATTGTGGATTTAAGGTGTTTTATATCACAAAAAGGGGTGCCCTGGCTGAATGGTTAAGATACTCGTCAAGGAGAGCGTAGAGCCGAGCTACAGCCTCAACCCTCTTCTACAGTCAACACCAAAGCTCCATGGAACGTCATGGCTAGGCTGTTCTCAAGATTGCAAGGAGACTCGCTCAACCATCAGTATTCTACGACGTACAAGAAGAAGACGAAACAAGGAATTGAATATGCTGGAAGTATTTGGATCCACACAGTGAGAAAAAACACTGTGAAGGCGGATAAATAAAGTGTCTAGAATGTCCATATCATAAAAACCATGGCTTCAAAGACGGGAATAGCTGGTGAAGTTGATTAAATTGAGTTGTGTTATAGCTGGACGGTAAAATGAACTTCCAGTTACGCCAGACACGGGCCACTTGGAAACCTATTTGGAAGCAAAATATATTTGTTTCAAGAGATGGTTTAGGATTTACATTTGCTAATGGCGAGTGGAGAAGTATTCGTCTCATTACTGAAATCGTGCGTGTCATATGTTCTTAACATAATTGGACTCTTTAAGACATTCATACTGTATGGAATTTATGAACATTGCAGGTTCATTCACAAGCTGTCACTAACATCTGTTCACGATGTTTTCACAGAGAGGAGAAAAAGTCGACTAACTGTCTGGTCATTGTTAGATTCTGAACGTGTTGTGTTCATAGTATGCGTCGAATAAGGTTGAGGTGTCTGAATGTGATATATAGAACGAAAGGAAACCGCCACCTTTTTCTTTTGTAAACGATGAGCAAATGCAATACTTCAAATTACTCTTTATTATCTTGTTCCAAACTCAGACGAGAAGATACCTCCGTAATCACCCTTCATAAAAAATGAAGCGAGCGCTGCTAGCAGAAGGTATCTGAAAAAGTGGTCTGGAGCTTTTTGTATAAATTACAGATATTTCCTTTATTACATTGCATCGCCAATTGGTTCCGAATCGTTCTACGACCGTCTTTGTAAGGCAGACAATTGCGTAATTTTGCACTAATGCCAAAGACGGAGATTTCATAAGTTCGGGTACAATATACCACATCTCTTGCACGACATGTGATGAAGAATACATTGGCGCAATCGGGAAGAGTGCTTTAGATCCGCATCGAAGAACATCTAGACGGGAAATTGAGCAATTAAACAAGTAATCCTCAAGGAGCGCATAGGGTAGAAAAGCACATCGATGAAGACTTCGAGGTGGTACTAAGAATTCTGGGAGAAGAATTAAAAACGTCGGCGCAAAATACCCTCAAGGTATTTTAAATAAATCGCAAAAGTACAAGAATGAATAGAAGTGGAGAGTGTCTAAACATAAGAAATGATATGGAGCCTTAACTTAGATTCATTCTATAATATGTTGTCAGGATGTAAACTTGAAGTTCTTTCGTTCTATGGTCCACCATGTGTTATGTAGACGAGCTCCATTGAGTCTTGCATGGGCGAAGACTATGCGTGGGTGGATCAGATAAAATTACGAGAAAAGGCGCGAAGTCAAGCCTAACGGCGAGGTGCTTATCTTTGCAATCCACTTTTCAAAATGATAGCAAATAATCCGCTTATTATGAAGCGCGGATTTGCTCATGAAAGAGAAATACTGAGTCTCTGTTAATGTCGAAGTTAACAGCTAGTGATGGGAATTTTTTTCATAATCGCGCAGCCTGATAGCCAAATCCATCGCGAGGAAAACTTTATGTAAATGTTCAGTAGACGGAATATAATTTCTAGTACCGGCCTTCTTAACCCCGGCATAGACAAGGAGATAGGAGGTTGTTAACATCTTCAATGTCGGACGGGATTCGAAAATGCACTTCATCCTTTCCGGAGGCTCGCTAATTATAGCACTACCGACGCTCGTTTTGCCATGACTTTTTTTCTACATAATTGTATCGATCTGTAAGAAACCAAATATCAATGGTTTGGCCTAGCTAGCCGATATCGGCATTGAACTCAGTCACGATAACAGATATGGGATCTTCGTATAACCAGGTAATTTTTAAATTTGACCGCTTTTAGAAGTGGTGTAGTGTTGCATATATATATGCATATATATGCATATAGAGATACATATATATGCGTGTATATGCATATATATATGCATATATATATCCAATAATGGTCGAAGGAGAATGATGGCAGAACATAGAGTTGCTGATGCAATGATTAGCACGAGCCCCAGGAAGGATGAAATATGGGTTCAAATCCCGTCCAACTTCCAAAGTTCTGCTCATCACTCAACATTATTGGATATATATTCGTAACATCATACCACCGCTAAGAGCGGTTGAATAAGAAGAATTGTGGCTGCTAACACTGATATTTATTGGGTACAACAATAAAAAGGATAAAGGATAAAGCTCTCGGCGTTGATCAATCCCTGAGGGATGCGCCATGCATTCGACTTCAATTTTTAACTTCGTTTTGAGGTGATTGAATGCATATCTGGCCTTTACAATGACTCGCGGTGGCCTCCCGCTGAACCGAGTTAGTGCTGCTAATCCTCCCGGTCAAGTCTGAGACCTGTCTGGTGGACGTCAGAAGTGTAACGGATAGAGCACGCATTCCCGGAAAGGGTACAACAATACAGTGCAATAATAATATAATAGTTTTCGGTGGTTTCGTCTTCCCAAGAACCCCGAAAGGTCAAATTGTTCCGCAGCCCAATCAGTGAATACTTTCATAACGCTGACAGAACGACATGATAAACAGCAGTCTGATTTTATATTCAAATGCTCCTTT